CAGCTGTTCCGTGGGAGAAAGATGAGGCTTTCTGCTCCTGTAAAGATTTATAGCCTCAGAAACTCTGTACAGGGTTGCTATGAGTTGGAACCGACTCCATAGCACATAACAACAACAACAACAACAACAATATATTTAATTATGGAGTCTTGGTGTGGCACTGTGGGCTAACGCATCAGATTGCAAAGTCATTTGAACTGCAAGGTCAGTGGCTGAAGCTCTTCAGCTGCTCCTTGGAAACCCTATACAGGTTCACCATGGGTGGGAATCAACTCTATGGCACTTCACAACAACAACAATAATATTTAATTACAGAAATAGGACTAACATATGTGTATTAAAAACTAACAAACAAACAACAAGAGCATGCCTATACTATTTTCTTTATATTCAAGAGGAATCCATAAGTTAGAAGCCTCAGTATAAATTAAGTGAGCAAGGACTCTTGGTAGAGAAGGTGGAATATGATTGTACCTTGGGTGGTGACAGGGCTTAAAGAACAAGAATGGAAGTGGTAGATTAGTAAGGCTTAGAAACCATTGTCTTCTAGCCAATCAATAACAGTTTGTTTCTAGTATGTGATGAGACATAGTTATGGACACATAAATCACCATGCAAAATTTGAGTTATACCTCCTAAATTTGTGGGAGGTGCCCACATACTGAAAATGATCTTGCTGACAGTTGAAAATTTACATCGCTCCTGATTGTGGAAGATATGAACATACTCCTTTTTGCATGTCAGAGAGGTAAAAATTCTGTCTAAAAGGCATGTTAGACTTTGCTTATTTTTGACACTTTTTATTATTGTTGTTGCCTTTTTTATTTACATATACATACCTATCAGCTGAGTCATGGTGTGGCACTGTAGAATAAGGTAAATGTTAGCAGTTCAAACCCACTGGCCACACCTAGGAAACCCTATACTTGGTCAATATGAGTTGGAACCAACTCAACGGCATTTTGCAACAACACAAGATAAACCAAACACCAAGACCACTGTAATAGATTGGATGCCAACTCGTCTTTGTGTTATTGTTAAGTAACATGGAGTCAGTTCCTACTCATAGTGAGCCTGCACAGGGTTTCCAAGGCTGTAAATCTTTACAGGAGAAGAACATCTCTTCTTTCTCCCACAGAACAGCTGGTAGTTTTAAACTGCTGACTCATCTTTATCCCTTGGAATTTGGAGGTTTAAACTGTCAACATTGCAATTAGCATCATAAGGTCTAATTCACAGCACCAGGACTCCTTACACTTAAATAAAAGAAGAAGCATGAGTAGGAGGATGAAGAAAGAGGTGTTGGCAGGCAAAAAGAAGAGGACAAATAAAGAAATAGTGAATAATGCAAAATTGTTAGTGTTGCCTAGTCAGCACCCAAACTCATAGTGACCATATGTATAATAGAATTGGATCAAGGTATTCATTAGTTATTTTGTTAAAAAATATAGCCAGGGACTTCTGGTTTGGGGGCAGGGAAAGCAGAGACAGACAGTGAAAACTCTTCTCCCAAAACCCCCCCAAAAAAAGCACAGAAAGAGCAGGTGACAGAAAAACTGCAGAGCTTTGGATCTTGTTTAAGGTTCAGGGCACCAGTTCCCTGCACCCATTGAGAAGACATCTGCAGGTAAAACAAAATATGGTGATTTCTGAATCCACCCAGCCACTGCAGCCTGCAGCCAGAGGACAGGGCCACACCCAAGTGGAGGCAGCCACCCAGCTCTAGAAGTCACCGAACACATCTGAAGGGAGAGGTGTGACCGATTTTTCATCTTTGACTTTTCATTTTTCACATATCTCTTCTCCTCTTCACCCCAATTGTGCCCTCACTGCACAGCCCAGATGACTTTAGGTGAGCAGGAATACACCCCCAAAAGGCTCTAGCATTGCACTCATAGTTTTTCAACGACACAGAGAAGAAACCCGCAGGCTGCTTCTTATGATGTTTTGACCCTGGGAACCCGCCTCATAGTTTACCTAGGCAGGACCATTTGCACAGCAAATGCCAGTGAACAGTGTCTATCACAATTTTATTTTTGTTTCTGATAGGTGGTTTCTGTGTCTGCTTTTATATTGTTTCTTTCTTTGGTCCTTTTGGCCTCACTCTTCTCCCAGGGGTGGGAGCTTTCTCCCCTTATCTAACCCAAGAAGAGACAGCAACTGTGCCCATATAGCCAAGCTACAAGTATACCCTGTAGTACCTAGCCATCTGGACAAGAGCCAAAACCAGCTGCTAGGCATTACACATGAAAAGGGAAGCCTATCTCCAGATCATATCCACCAGGAGATGCTCAGCAAGCTTAACAACAAAGAAATATACATCCATTTAAGCATTAAAAACTCACATAAATTTTGAAAATGTCCAAGAAAACACAATTAATGATATTAACATGTCCAAAAACAGAAAAAAAGTAACTGAGACAAATGAGCTGGAAACAGACACAGACTTTCTAATAGAAGAGCATGCTCTAGATCTGCCTGAGAAGAAATTCAGAAGAATAACATGGAAACAAATTCAAATGCTCAAAAAAGGGGTGGAGGAAAATATGGAAGAAGTTAGGAAAGTGCTATAGGAGCAATCAAACAAGATAGATATAGAATTTGAAACAATCCAAAACCTGCAAAAGAAGTCCATATGATTAATAATAAAGTATCAGAAATGAACAATACATTGAAAGGGCAAAGGGACAGAATGAAAGAGATGGAAGCCAAAACCAGCGAGCTGGAAGACAAATCTCTCAATACTGCTAATATAGAAGAGCAAGCAGAAAAAAGGATTAAAAAATCTGAAAAGAGTCTAGGATTCATACTGGATAATATGGAGAGGAAT